ACGACCGCATTGGTTAGTTGTTCATTTTTTATTATGGGTGGTATTATTCAATCTAACCGACTGGTATGCAATGTCTTACGCTGTAAAGATTGTAAAGTGACACCACAGCAAACCAGAAATCTTCTCCGAAGTATCATGAGGTTAGATTCCGCTCAGGATCGTATGAAAGACTTGCTGCATGCTCTTCGACAGATTGAAGGTAGCGATGTGCTCGTTATCCAGGACCAGATGGACATCACCTGTGGAGCCATCATGCAAACGAAAGTGCAAAAGATGATGTTTGAGCGGTGGGGTGAAACCTTGACGATGGACTTCACGCACGGAACGAACACTCTTGGCTACCATTTAGGTACGTGCAGAAAAGCAACCTTATGTTTATAGCAACCTTAAGCGCAACCTTAATTTTTTTACAACAACCTTGAATCTCATTTGGTTGCTACTGTTGTGTAGGGTGTTTGGTTGTCACTACGTGTACGGGTAGAGGGTTCCCAGTGGTGACTTTATTTGCCTCAGTGAGAACGCTGTCAAAATTAAAACGATCTTAAAATATTTCAAGGACAAAAATCCAAAGTGGAAAGACGTCACGAGTGTGGTTATCGACAAAGATTTTGTAGAGTGGCAAGTGCTACAGGAGTGCTTTCCAACCGCCCAGGTGCTACTCTGTCAATTCCACGCCATTACATACTGAAAAAAAGTGATGAAACGCAAAGTATTTGAGCTCAAGATGGCACAGAGAGAAGAACTTATCGAGTTGCTGACGAAGATGCTGTATTGGTGCGTCACAGTCAGCAAATTTCTCTTTTGCCTTTTCACTCATTTGTTGTGGTTACTGGCAGCCGCACACAAGACGCGTATGTATCTGCATATGATGCAATGAAGAAATACTGCAAAAAGTCAAGGAGGACCAAGTTCTTTGCGTATTTTGAGAAAAACTGGCATTCGTGTCGACAAATCTGGTCGAACTATGAACGCGAAAAACATTTTACTGGATTACGAGGGAGGAAAGTGGATTCGACTCCGTGTAGAGACAACGACAACGATGAAGACGTTGATGAAGATATGGATTCTTTGTTTGATTTAGAAAATGCAGTGGTCACTGCTAGTATTATGGAGGAGCTACAAAATATGGATGCCAGCACTGACGGTAGCAGCGACTGTGAGGACGTCCCATCAACGCAGAAAGCTATAGAAATGTCACGGAAGCCCATAATCGTGAGCAAGGCACAATCGTCGGTGTCCATCACAGATGAAGCTGATCACAAGAATGCAGATGATTACGAGAATGCAGTTGATTACAAGAAAGTTGAAAATTGTGAGGTTGGTGAATCTGCTGTACATCCAACTACCGACCCAGCGATGCCTACGCGGCAAGTGGATATCATAAACGTCCCAAAGCCGAAGACCCGAGGGAGACAACGATCAAATCCGAAGCAGCTAAGACAGACAAAGCTTACCTCAGTTCATACTCGTCTCGCCGTGCACAAATACCCTAGCGATCTTACCGTACAGCTTGACGAGTTTGTCGTTTGGGCACGCAACACAGAGCTGTGGCGGGCATGATAGACAAATACCATGTCCAACTAGACGATGCGTACCTCAGGATTCGCACAATCGAATGCAGCTGGGAAGCTGTACGACCAGCAACGTACATGCACCCATTTGTAATCCCTGGAGACATCACGCGGTCAATGCAAGCTTCAATCAAGACAGCTAAGTCCGAGCAACGTCACCCAGATCCACTCGACGACCGCATCAAGAAACAAGGAATCGTGCTCGATCTCGTGGCTTCTATCGACCCCAAACTTTGGAAATTCAGCGGGTAAGGTTGCCATTCTCGTATGGTTTGCTTTTTATGGTCGTCATATTGTGCTTGCTATAACTGTGAGCTGTGATTTGTACTAGACAATACGTGGGAGCTGCAATTACATTCTACGCGGTAAAGGCCAAGGTACAAACATGGTTCGAAGATCGGAAATGGTTGGAGAAAAACTGGCGGAAGGTAAACTCCGATGTGGATCTATTTGCTGTGGAGACTGAAACAAGTGGGCTATCAGTTGATGCTGTAACGGAGCGACACTGCACCATGGCAAACGAGGAAATTTCAAAGTTTGCATCCAGTCGACTGAGTTCTGAATACACGACACGGTCGGGTAAGGCCTGCATCGCCTTCGAAAACGTTGTTGGTGGACTCTGTAGAGGATGGCTAAATGATAGCCCAATTGACTTCTGTTTGGAAATCATTGGAAGCACGATGCGGGATTGCTACGTCCTGTCATCATTGACAGCAGCTGTTGGATGGCCAAAGACACCAAACACGCGTATCACTTCTACCAAATTCATGATTCAACCTGTCAATCTGAACCAAAGCCACTGGGGTATCATAATAACTACGTTACGCTACGTTGAAGCCAAGGACACATTACATGTGCATCCCTATCTGTATGAGCCCCTGATTGACGAAGGTTATCATGGGGACATGGAGGTGGTTTGGAGCGGTGTTAAGGACGGCGATGGTAACTCAGTTATGGAAGGGCTTTGTGGTTTTGTGGCGAGATGGAGTAAGGCATCGGCACCTGCGGCAAAATTATGCATAGACCCTATTGAGTGGATTGAAGTTCCACAGCAACCCGACTACTCAAGCTGTGGCGTGTTTGTTGTGGCCCAAGCTTACAGCTATGTGACCGCGAATCTTCGCTGGCAATGCAGAAACGTTTCCAAGAGTGATGTGGAAGCTATGCGTCTCCGAATGCTGTGGATAATACTCTGTAAATCGAGCAAGAGCCGTATGGCTCGTCGCACTGTGGATAATACGAAGTCTATTAATGAGAAACTGCTCAAGCAACTGAAGTAGGTAAATGTAGCTGTGTTATCCGTTAATATAAAAACCGCTAGCATACTACCATACTACCCATTCAATCTGTTGACTGCCATTTCTAGCAAAGCTCCGAAGGGTAGGTGGCCGTCTTGACTCGCACCAGAATTGGCAATCTCAGACGCCAGCACGTAGATGCTCTCCTCGCTCACCTCAATGCGTGACAGTAACTCCATCTGAGCTATTAGTATCTTCTCGAGGCTTGCGCCGATCTTTTCAAGCGTGTTCTTCATGTCCATGAGCTCGTAGATGCGCGCGCGCACCAGCTCCCGAGCGAGCGACCTTCCGTCCATCCTTGCTGCGATGTTGGATCCTTGAAATATTTGCTAAGTGTGAAAAAATGTGTTCCACACAGTGTAGTGTAAGAAACACACCCATGTGTGGTGCACACGCATTTAATGCTGTTTCAATAACTCTAAATTTAGGATGTTGTGGCGTTATTTACACTGCTATTGATGACGGCGACGAAGTGGCCACGTCATTTATTATAAATTACCAGAGGCCATATGTTTTTGTGGTCGCTTTAGGCGATAAGGTTGCATTATTTCCTGTCGTCTTGTCGTATTGTGGTTGCAGTAACGCCTCTCGCCCAGGCAAGACTTGCGCATGTACACGTATTAATAAATCACATCTGATACTTTGTGCCTGACAACTTGTGGACCACTTTGAGTTACATGTACCTGCAATGCAGGATTACAAACACTTGACCTTTTCCGTTACCGAGCCAGTACAGTACTGCAGTATTATTTAATAATAAAACTCGCTACCCCCGGGGGTAGGGGCTTTTTGTTTTTTTTGGAGGGGGACACCCCCCATGAGTCAGCAGGAATCAAGTAGGGCACGTTCTGAATTAATAGAGGATGCAAGCTTCGACGTGTTCGCCGCCGTTCTTCATCCACGTACAGTACTCACATGACTTGAGTCACCCATGAAGCCTTTAAGGGGGGATTTCGCTGACTGAAGTAATATAACATCATCGCTGAGCGAGAGACGCGTTCCTTTTGCTACAACATGCCTACCGGTAAACTCGTGGCCGCGCCGTTCACGCTAGCTTCAAGCATTTGCTTATATGCAACAGGCGACTCCAGAGCGGGGAGTGTCCGGCAAAAAAATCCATTTTGATGCCCTCCACCCACGTGTAATACTCGGTGTACATACATGCACACTGTACAGTACAGGCTCAAAATTAATCATTCAGCGTTAGCGACGTTGCACATGTTGATGCTGAGATCTGCAGATCTTTAATCCAGGGCGCAGGACACCCCGCAGCTTCTCACCCGACACCTTCGACTTGTGAAAGGGAAAGTCAAAAGGTCTCAATACGCGTTTGTACGCACCCGACGTTCTTATTCTTTGGATCTGTGTCTGTATTGAAAGACGTAGCACTCTTTCTCTGGTAGTGATGTCTCTGCTGAGGCCGTACAAGGCTAATAGACAGCGATGTACTTGTACAAGTTGTACATACTCCGACATGGGTTGCTGGTCAAGGTAACGAATGACGTTCGTGTCACCTGCGCGCAAAATTTGGCAAGGTGTTGTTACCACCAGAAAAAAGGCAACAAACGCTTTACCCTAGGCTTACAAACATCTTTGACGTGCTTTCCGTTCGCAAAAAATGCTGGATAAAAGGTCATGCCTTAATACTGTACAGTGTTGAAGTGGAAGGCAATCTTCAGTTTTTCAGCGTGTCCATCTCAAGGAGCCGCTCTCAGCGGTAATGCCGCTGAATAATAGAGTCCGGCGCAGCAATGCCTGGATTTTCTTGCCGGGCGAGAATGCCCAAACTTCGTCGCTATCTTCGCCTTGCAATACTTCTGCAACATTACGCATCCTGTCACTCTACACAGTGTCACCTGCGCAGTTTGGCTTCACTCGGTCCGTTTTCGATATTTTGCTGTTTGCCGACGAGGGAAAGTTGCCGTTTGATTTGGTGTCAAGGTCACTTCAAGACCACGCCTTGGTGTGATAGAGGAGCCAGTCGAGTCGCCGAATGAGCGAATGCGTCACTCTCATTCCACAATTCGCAGAGTAGGCCGCAAGCCTCCGCCGCTTTACCGCCCCGGTACCCTCCCACAATATCATTCCGCACAAGTATCTTCTTAGGAATACCAACCACCCATTATCAACTATGAAGCACGGCATTTGGTCCGAAGACGAGCACGACCGCTTCCTTCTCGCCATCAAGGAGTTTCCTCGCGGTCCGTGGGGCTTCATCGCCTCAGCTGTCGGTACGCGCTCTGTCCGGCAAGTGCAGACTCACACACAGAAATACTACGAGAAGATTATGCGGAGAGTGCGTGGCCTGCGCAAGGATCGCAAGACGTGGGCACGTGTCGAGCACCGCATCGACGACGACGTGCTCACATTTTGCGAGTTCATGAAGAGCATGGGCAGCAACAAAGTCATGGTGAGCGACCCAGACGCCCTCAAGATCAACACCAAAGTGGCCGTGTCTCCGCCTTCCAGTACCGACTCCAGTCCGTGCACCAGCCCATTGCAGCTCCGCCTCAGCCTTGAAGAAGAACCAGAGGAGGAGCTCGACGCAACCGAACAATCACTGGCCGCCAGTACACTGGATTTACCCCCGCTTGAAGAGGCGCTTGATTTCCTCATAAAAATTATGGAACAATGACGAAAACTCAGGCCTCAATCACGGACAGCAACACCAGAACACAAGCGTAAAAGCATTAAAAGTCAGTCTTTTCGTCCCAAATTTCGTAACTTTCTGATAATAGCGATCTGGTCTTTCATACTTTTGCTTCGTCATCCGAGAAATGGTCGACAAAATAGGCAAAAGTTGCACCTACTGATCTAAAGGCACGACGTTCTCCTCGTCCACTACCAGAGTGTAGCTGTAAAACTGCAAATACTGCGAAAAGAAGGCGCCTTCGAGTGTGATAAGCACCTTGAACGTGTGGTCGTTCCACGTGAAGGTGAACTCGCTGCCAGAGTCCCACAACATGTCGGACACACTGCGGTTCTGCAGTAGGGGCTCCCCGTCCAGTAGAATGGAGCGGAACCCACCGCGTAGTCCGTGTTGCAGCTCCACACAATGCCGTTCCTCCGACCCCTCCAGCTCAAAGATCCACCACACTTGTTTCCACGGGAACGTGAACAGCAGCGCGCTGGCTGGATGTTTGATCTCCTCCAGCGTGCAGTTCCACACCGTGTTGCCGTCGTCCAGACTGAGAGTTCCTTTCCGTGAGAGCGGCACACCTTCACGCCCTTGAGAGCTCGAGGCCAAGATGTTGCGCGACTCAAACACCGACATCTGCAGGATCGTCTCCTCCGCTAGGATCGACCTGCAACTCTCGTCCGGCACCTTGAACCACGTGCGGTTCGGATGGCCAATACTGACCCAGCTCGGCGGCATCGCGTAGAGGTTATACAGCTCCTCTGATATCCGCACGAGCGTCCGTGGGGGCCCATCTTCCGTCTCACTCAGATTCGGAAGATTGAACACGTTGCGACTGGACGAGCGACTCGAAAAACTGCCGGTTCGTGGTCGTGGAGGGTCAAGAGCAACCCACCCTTTCTCCTTCGTGAGGCGCACATACGTCTCCTGTGTCCGAGGTAGCGTGTACTCCATTTCAGCCGAGAAGATGGTGCTGGCGAACAGATACCGCACGATCTCGCTCGTCTTCTCTGGAGATAAAAGCACTTCTTTCTTCTCGCAGATTACGCGGAAGAAGAACTTGCCATTCTTCTTCTCCGGGTCTTCATCCACAGCTTCTAGCACTTGGTCTCCACTGGGAGTTTGATCGAACAGCCAGCCATTGCACGCACTATTTGCCGTCGGATGCGAGGTGCTAGCCACCTTGATATACGTGATCCTGCTGCCTGGCGGTGTGTACTGCAGACTGCTCTCAAACACGGTACCAGCTGTCATTGGAGCCACACCGGGCAGTCTTGGGCACTCGAAATCCGGGGCTGAGCGTAGATACACTGGCACTAGCACGCGATAGAACTTGGGCATGTCGCGTGTGACGGCATATCCCTGAACCTGTTCGAGTAGCAATTTGTAAGGAGAATGCAATTGCCGCTCGCATATCCACCCCACATCGTGTCGTAGCTTCACAAAGCCTATATCCGGGAGATCAGGTTCACCGGCGTCAGCGAGAGCTGGAGGTACAGTGGGTACAAGTCTCTCGCTGCACTCAATTAGCGTCCCTTTCAGACGTTTCCGTCTGCTTGGAGGACTGCAGGGGGCTGATGATGGACTAGAGACTGCGCTCCTCTTCCCGCCTGCAGGTGTCGGGAGCACATCCACGTCGTCTAGGACGCGATAAAACAGTCGCTCGACCTGTCGCACTTTGGGCTCAGCCATCGGTTCCAGCACCACCTGTCCGTCCATTGTCGTCTCAAAGATCCAACCGCCGTGACAAGACGACGGTGCAGCCAACGTCGCAAAAGCCTTGTCCTTGGAAGGAGACTCGCCTCCAATCTCACGCGCCATGGACTTGGGACTTGATGCACTGCCGGCGTGGCTTCTTGAGCAGCCACAACGCGAGTTCTTGTCCTTACACACACGTACATACGTGATTTTACTGCCCGGTGGAGTGAATCGCTGCGAGGCCTCGACAATTGAGTGCAACTTGAAGCCTTTTCCCGACCGCTGAGCCATAATATGCGGCGCTACTCGAATACCCACTGGGATCTTCACCACGAAGAAGAAATGGCCGTACTGAATGTCGGGCTCTGTTGCCAGTCGCTCCAGCACTTTAATGCCGGAATTCAGCGTCTCAAAGAGCCATCCGTCCTCGTACGCGAGCTTCACAAACGTCACGCCACTCTGCGGACAGCGATAGGTTTCGTGGCACTCGATAATCTCCTCTGCGTTCTTGAAAACATGTCGAGAGATCACGGGGGCCAGAAGATCTGGGGCTTTGCGCAGCTCAATCGGCACCATTACTCGATAGTAGAACCTGCCCTTGTTCACGATGGCCTGCTCGTCCTCCGGGAGTGGCTCTAAGAACTGCTTTTCAGTGGCAACGCCCGTCTCCGCCGTCTTGCTCGTCTCTTTAGTCGACAACATCATAAACGCGTTCTCCACGTGCGCCAGGCGAATGAACCAAGTGGGGGCGTTCGATGATCCGACCAGACATTGCAACCGCCCGCTACTGGCCACCACTTCTTCCGGCATCTTCATCACACTGTAAGCTGGTGAGAAATTACACACAAAGAGCGTCAGAAAAGAAAGCTCTGAAATGACACATAAACCATCTCGACAGACCGTTGCGGTCTTGCTGCATCATCTGCTGTCTGCTCCTGGCCGACGACGTCCGTCCGCTGCCTAGTTTGGTCAGTTCCTGGATCCTCACGACCTTGTAATCGCTTTCGGCCAGCGACGGCGCGCGGAGGCGCATTTCGTCGAGATCCGAGGCCTTATCGCTGTTCTCAGCTGCATTTTCGCTAGTCGATGTCGTGCCCAACCCGCCAAAGTCGATTGCGTACAGTTTGGACTCGTACAGGACGCGATAGAAGCGCGACTCCTGAAGAACAGCATTGCGCAGCGTTCGGGCAGAGGACACGGCGCGATTACGCGTCGTAGGCGGCAATACGCCGTCACTTGGAACTTTTAGAGCTGCCAGAGCCGTCGCCACCTCCTCCTCGTCGGTTGTTTGCGGGATCAATCGCCCATAGAACGCTGTGGATGTCGGCGCTGCTGCTCGCACACGCGACTCCATTGCAGGGGGCTAACTAAAAAGTGGAAGAAGTCGTTTGTTTCATGTGGTGGACACCATATGACGCTTAGACAAAAAACACAAGCAATTACAAATAAAGTACAAAGAGGAGCTCGCAAGTTTGTTTATTGAAAATTACAGATCAGTACGTTCGCCGTTGGGCATCGGTGCATCGCCAGCAGGCAAGTTTTCGTCGCGGTGGGCCGAGATCTCCATGTCCTGCATGACGTTGGAGAGTGTGGCCTCTTCCTGCTCGTGTTTCTTCTTTTGTTGTTGTTTGATGCGCTCCAAAAGGTCTGGGAGGTACTCGTTCTCGTACTGCTTGGCAGCTTCGTCGACAGCGGCGAAGAGCTCGGGCATACCCTCACCAGTGGCGGCCGACACGCCGACGGAAGTGAGATTGTTGTAGAACTCCTCGAGTACAAGACTCAAAGAGCGTGAGAGGCTGCCCATGTAACTATCGTCCTGAACCTCGTCTAGCGCCGTCTGGAAGGCCTCGAAGTCCGTCATCCACTCGGTGGCGAAGTCATGGCGCATGACGTCGATCTTGTTAAACACCACCACGAACGGCAGCTTCAACTTGTACAGGATACTGCACGCGTACAGCATGTTGGACATGAACGTGTTGGGGCTGGCTGTGCGCGGCGTGTCCACCACGTACACGATTACAGACGGGAACGTGGAGGCCAGAGACTCGGTGATAATCTGACCCGATGCCGACCACGTGAACGCTTCGATCTGTCCGGGTGTATCCACAATGGCGTAGCTGACAGCATACAACACGAAGTCAGTTCTCTACTAATTAGCAGCAGCTGGCAGCGTTCTACTGGACGTACTCGAGATCGCTGCTGCGCTTGCCGAGCAGGTCGATGACTTGGTCGAAGCGCGTCGCAAAGAGGTTGAGTGACGTCATAATGGCGCCGTTGGGGCCTAGGCCGTACTCTGTCATAACCTGCTTATAGTCCACCGTGTCCCGGATGTCCACATTGGCGGTGTAGCCAGTCTTTCGCACCGCAGGATCCAAATTGATAATGTAGTTGCGCAGTCCCGAGTCCACACCGTAGGCGGCCAGTCGCTGCATGAGCGTCGTTTTGCCACTTCCGGCCATGCCGATCACTAGGACGGTCACTGGCTTCGGATAGATCTTGGGCAGACTCGGGTCTGCGGCAGCGGCGGCGTACGCATTGGTAGGAGCCGGAGGAGGTACCGGTACGGCGTCGGGCTGGGCTGCTGGGGTTGCCATTGATCTCGCTGGTTGAAAAATGCTGGAAATGGGATTATAAAATGGGTTGTGTTTGATTAGCAATCAAATATGGGCACTATTTTCTAAACTATATTTGCAAGTTGAAGTGGAATTACTCATTTTAGTGATACGCCGAATGAGGCGTTGATGGGCAAGTTAATTACATGTAGTATACACTACAGCGTGTACTTCTGGTACCTGCGCAGGATCTTCTGCAGCTGGTAATGCACCTCGCCGGCGCTGGGGCGCGCCCTCGGGTCCAGGTCCACACAGGCGTGGCCGAGGTTCACAAGCGCCGCTGGTGCATTCGACGAGAACTCGACACGGACACGACCCATGGCCACCATCTCCATCAGCGCCGTCTCCGTCACTTTCTCGCCCGATTCGGACGTAATAGAGGTGATCGCACTCGCGTACGGAGGCTGGTGCGAGTCCAATTCTGACAGCACCACGCCGAACGAGAAGATGTCGGCACTGGTGTCGTAGTGCTTGCCCATCATGACCTCAGGAGCCATCCAGCGTCTTGTACCCACGCCAGCCGTCATTGTTTCAGCTGTCCACTTGCGCGAGACGCCAAAGTCGGTGAGCTTGGCGTCCCACTCGTCTGACAGAAGAATATTCATCGACTTGAGATCACGATGCAGTACGATAGGGTCGAGCGAGTGCAGATACGTCAGGGCCTGTGCCACATGCACCGCGATCTTGGCCTTATCCTCGTCGAAACCCTGCGGTCGGCGGTCTACGCGATCGAAGCGCCTTAATAACGAGAACAAGTCGCCACCGGGCATGAACTCAGAGACAGCGCAGAGATCAGTGAGCGCGTCCCACGCCACACCGACGAAGCGCGCGATGCGAGGATGCTCAATGCTGGCCATCATCTTAATTTCCGAGAGGAAAATGTTGATCTGACGCATATCCTTCCTCTTATCGGGTAGCAACACCTTGATGGCGACGCACTCGCCGCGGTACAAGCCATGGTAGACAGCGCCGTGACCACCTTCGCTGACGAGTTCCTTTCGAGTGAGCTTTTCCATCGGGATACGAGCTGCCAAGATGGCTTCATCTTCCCATAAACCAGCTCCGGTTTTGCTGGTTTTCTTGGTGGATGGCATGGAAGCCGCGCTGCTATCGAGCCGCAGTGTGGAGTCGAGATTTCTAGTGCTGTCTAGGTCCACCGTCCGGTCAAAGTTGTTGAGATCGTGAACCGCAATTGCCGGAGATGGCGAGTAGCTTTCCAACAGGATCGGCTCGGCAGCGGGCAGAGTGATCGGGGCCATAGCGTACGAAGCGTCGAACGAGGACGATCGTGGGGTCATTTTCCGTTTCCTGCGGCGATACAGCCAGAAGGCAAACCCAGCGATCAGAAGAACGAACACAACTGCACCGGCGACGATACCGATGACGGCTCCTGTGCTGATACCTAGAACGAAGCCGACCGTGAGTTAACCTGCACTTGATACGCACTACGAGCAATGACCTCACCCTCGCCGCTTCTTTCCACCGTGGTGAGTCCCGACGATGCATCGCTGTCGCCTGAATGACAGTTTACGTTAACAGCCACCGTAGTCGATGCGTTGGCGCTCGCAATTGCCGAAGCCGGCGCTGTGGTCTCAGGAGCACCGCTGGAGCCGGAGCTGAAGCTTAAAGCCGGTACCGGTGTCGACTGCGCTTCTGAGACTGCGTTAGTGGTTGAGGTGTCTGTGGAGGGGGTTGATGTACTGGTTGTGGATGCCGATGAAATAGTCGTAGGTGGTGCAGTGGTCGCTATGGGCGCCGTCGCAGTGGTCGATACGGGAGCTGGTGTGGTGGGTGGGGCCAGCGTTCTTGTAGTGGGAGCTGGTGTTCTTGTAGTGGGAGTCGGTGTTCTGGTTGTCGGGGTGGGCGTCCTCGTGGTTGGCGTGGGTGTCCTCGTTGTCGGTGTTGGCGTAGCTGGAGACGTCCCTGTCAGAGTATCCGCCGTATCCGTGATAATACCTGCTGCTGTATCAAGGAGAGACATCGTGCTAAGGTGGCTAGAGCTCTGTGGCAGACACCGGGGTCTGATTGAGTTCGGTGGGAGCAAGATGGCACCTTGTGAGACGACCTGCGTGTTCCGAACTGGCCTAGGCGAGGAAGGGGAGCCCACAGCGCTTCCCGGCGAGGCAGAAGCGACATTGGAAAGTGCGGCCGGCCCGTGTCAACGACATCAGCTTCGCTTCAAAGCGTCGAGGTCTATGCACAACCTCATCATTCGACAACATCCTGGCCAAGTATGGAGCGCCGCGACCTCCAGCGGTCGTAAGGGCACAGTTGGCGGTTTCGGTGGCTTTGCGCGCTTGATAAAGTTTCGAGCGCGTTGGCAAAAACGCCATTGCCACGTTGGCAAGTTTGGGGGACAGTCGTACAATACTGTATTTCTTTTAATGCTACAGTACAGTTCAGAACCGACGTTGGATTCACAGCGTGTACATTTCGTAAGAGTGCTTGATTAGCTGCAATCGGTAGTGCACCTCACTGGCGCTCGGCCGATCCTTAGGGTTCAAGCTCACGCAGGCGCGTCCGAGGTCGACCAGCTTTGTTGGGGCACTGGATGAGAAATTGACACTCACGCGCCCCATGGTCACGAGCTGTAGCAATGCTGCATCGGGTATTCGTTGACCGCTGTTGGTCATCCGAGCTTCGGCGTACGGGTGTAGGTGCCAGTCCAGTTCGGAGAGCACGACACCAAACGAGAAAATGTCTGCGCTCGATTCGTACCGGTCACCCAGCAGGACTTCAGGCGCCATCCAGAGCGAGGTGCCCACTGCTGCGGTCATGCTGGTAGAGCAGTATTTGCGAGCGACTCCGAAGTCCGACACCTTGGTATCCAACTCTGATGTGAGCAATATATTCCTCGCTTTGAGGTCACGGTGCAGTACCTTCGGGTCTAGAGAGTGCAGGTACGTCAACGCCTGAGCCGTTTGAAGTGCGATTCGAGCCTTGTCGAGGTCAAAGCCTCGAGGTCGCTGCTCCAGTTGGAAGCGATCAAGCAGAGCGCGCAAATCGCCTCCTTCCATGAATTCCATCGCAGCTACTAAATCTGAGAGCGAGTCCCAAGCCACACCCAGGAAGCGCACGATACACGGATGGTCGATAGTCGCCATCATCTTGATTTCCGCCAGGAATGCGTTGATCTGTTCCAAATCTTTCTGCTTGTCAGGTAGTAAGACTTTGATCGCGACTGTCGCTTCTCGGTACACACCACGGTAGACTTCTCCGTATCCACCGGAGCTCAGTAGCTTCGTCGTGGTGAGCTTCTCCAGCGGGATGCGTGTTGCTGTGATCACTTCGTCCTCCCACAAGCCTGGCCGTCCCGTTCCGTCCGACTCCAAACTTTCCGTAGTTTTGCTTCGTGCAGTGTGGAATGGCCCGAAGGATACGGAGGTCGAGGACGTCTCGAACCGCTCGGTGCCGCGCGTATTGAAGACTGGGATGTTCCCCGTCGCTCCCAGTCTCACGTGATTGACTGAGCTCATTAATTGCTTTCGTCTTCGGCGTAAGCACCAGCTCACCAGAAGGATTAAAAGTAAGAGTGCCCCCAATGCACCCATCACGAGACCAACAATGCTGTCCGTGTTGAGACCTGAGTCGGCGACGCCTGTCGCTCCTGCTACTCCGTCTCCTTTGCTGCTGCCAGACCCCCTTTTCCTGTCGATAGAAACACTACCGTGGCTCCGACTGCCGAGTAGTTGTGTTGAATCTGAGTCGCTGTCACTCACAACAGGCTTACTAGTGCTGTTCGTGTAGCTGTCAATTAGGCTTACAACGGCCTTAGCAGTCGACGGCGATGGCACCGTTTGTGGTGGCACGGAAGTCGTTGGCGAAGATGTCGATCTTGAGCTGCTCGCGTCGGAAGATATCGCATCGGATAAGCCAAAACTGTTTCCCGGTGTGGTCGACATTCCTAGCTCTGCCGTTGGAGCCCAAGTTGTCGATGCCGGTGTGGAAACCCTCTCGAAGGGGGTTGTAGGATAGGTTGTTCTCGGCGTGGTAGCCGTCGAAGCTGGAGCAGTCGAAGGTGGCGAAGGGGCATTCAAAGCACTGGAGGTCGCACCTGTCGAGGAATCTACTGTCAGCGCATTGGCGGTGGACTCGACCGTGTCAGTCGCCGTGCTCACTACAGAAGCAATAAGCGATTCCTCCATCTCTAGATCAGCGACAGAGTCTTGCAAGGTAATTGGCACGAATCAGAGTGCGACTAGTACATGATCTGGCTTGTGATCCGATCTTTAGTAGACGACCGGGAATTCGCGAATCACGAGTCATTCACGCCGTACTCTTCCGGTCTTAAGGCCCTGGTCATCATCAACGCATTGGGTAAATCAATCTCCAACCAGTACGAAAGTTTGCGCTATACCACGTAATGGCCTCAGTAGCACCCTGAAGAGACGAGGCCAAGCTCGATGAGGCGCCGCATCAAATGTACAAGCGGCTCGCACTTTCTGGTCAAGCCCTTACGATTCTGTAACATGTACATGTAATGCTAGTAGGTGTCATGTTCGGTGATCACGTGACGAGTCCTGACGTTTTGTCAACAGAGACGAAAAATCCTACATGTGCAGTACAGTACTCACTCGAATGCCTCCTCTCGATAAATGGACAGTGCACTGATGAAGGAACAAAGTTTAGGGCCACTGTGGCTCGTGGTAGGCTGATAACCTACCTAAGAAGACACGTCCTTTCGATCGTGTAGGCCATGTACATCCGTAGTATGTTCAGTAGGCGGTAGAGCACCTCGCTAGCACTTGGCCTTGCTGTCGGGTCCAAATCCACGCACGAGTGACCTAAATGTACAAGCTCCAATGGTGCGTTTACAAGAGAATATCGATGCGTAGTTGACCTGAGGAGACCAACTCAAGGATGGCAGAAGTGGAGACGTGCTGTCCGTTTAAATACCACATCTCGCGGTATTGCGGCATGTGCGAGTTCGAGCTTGGATAGAACGATGCCGAGCGAAAAGATGTCGGCACTAGCGTCGTAATGTTCGCCTATCCTGACCTCGGGTGCCATCCACAGAGCAGTACCCACACCGGCAGTCATTGTATCGACACTTCATTGTCTCGATCTTTTGCGTCCAACTTGGAGGTCAATAAAATGTTCATGGACTTGAGGTCGGGTCAAGCTAGTGGAGATAAGCCAGTGCGTAGGCCACTTGGAGAGCAATTCGGGACTTGTCTAAGTTGAATTCGTGCGGTCGCTTTTCGGTCTCAAAATGCTTGAGCAGCGAGTGCAAGTCCCCGCCATCCATGAAATCTGAGACGGCACACAGATCCGTGAGGGAGTTCCAAGCCACACCGATGAAGTGAACGATGTGCGGATGCTCGACACTCGCCATCTTCTTGATCTCCGCGAGGAAGGAGCTCACTTCATGGAGTTTCTTTCTCTTCTCAGGAAGAAGCCGCTTGATGGCCACTTGTTCGTCACAGTAGGTGCCTAAAGACACTTGGCCTTGTCCTCCATAGCTGATGAGCCTTGTCGTCATGATGTTCTCGAACGGGAAGCGCATAGCAGTGAGGTCCTCGTTTCCCCACATGCAGAGGCATCAGAGGAGTTACAGCTGTCCAGGTTTCTGGTACGAAAAGGAGAGAGACCAATGGCTGGGGTCCGAAGTCGGTTCGTAGTAGTTACATGGATACTCGAAGGCGTTAGCTCTGCCTCGTGCTTGTGTCGACAGCACCAGAAACCCAGCAGTCCAAAAAGAAGTAGTGAGCACGAGAGCGTGACCCCAACGATGGCTCCCGCACTTAACCCTGCGAATTCAAAGTAAGTGACATAAGAAGACGATCAAAACGACAGAGTGCACCTTGCCTTTCTTCTTCATCTTGGTGGTCCTTGCTTTCGCTAGAGTCATAGCTACTGTTAGCGTAATTACGCTCGCCTCTTTTCTGCTGACTGTTCTGGTGGTACCAATGCTTGAGGATGCGGTCGAGTTAAGAAATAACGAGATATCGTCAGTGAAGGATGAGCTTCCAAGAGCACTTGAAACGTCGAAAGGTGGTGGTGTCGGTGACGGCGTTCGCGTTGGTGCTGCTGTCGTAGCCCTCGGTGGTGCAGCGGTAGTTACCGATGGCGTCGATGATGCGGATTTGGTGGACAAAGACGCTGTCGCTTTGCTTCCACCCCGCTGTCGCGCTAGTAGCTGCAGCAGGCGAAGACGTTGAAAATCTCGTGATTGTATCTGCTGTTGCTGTAGCAGCGTCAGCAATAGTGTTCACTCTTGCATGCGAGCTCCAATGCAGAATTGTTCCGAAACCAGCAGCAATAGACTCAAACCTGGTGCGGGTCTTTAGTTTTCGACGCTCGGAATTGGCTCAAACTGATCCCAGTAGGAGTCAACCTCGTGACTTTATCGCCTGTCGAGAAGAAGCTTGGTCAAGGATTTAGTGACCCTGGCTCTGTATTCATAAGTTAATGAGTATGACGGCCAACCTTTCTAGGTGCTAAGCGAGCGACTCCAACAAACTTCACAGTAAACGCATTTCACACCACAATCGACGACACATGACGGTACACGACGCAGTCCACCTCCAGCCTGGACACTTTTCTTACAGCGTGGCATTCTCGTACATGTTCATAATGAGCTGCAGTTGGTACAGCACTTCGCCAGCATTGGGTCTTGTATCAGCATCGAGATCCACGCACGAGTGAGCTAAATCAACCAGAGCCTGTGGTGCGTGTGAAGAGAACTCGATCCGAAGAAGACCCAGAGATACCAACTGCAGTAGCGCCGTGTCGGGGATCACTCGACCAGAGTCCGTCTCCTTGGCAGCGGCGTACGGCAGCACATGCGAGTCCAGCTCCGACAGAACGACACCAAACGAGAAAATGTCCGCACTGGAGCCATACCGCTCTCCCATCATCACCTCAGGCGCCATCCATAGAGACGTTCCAACTCCAGCGGTCATTGTCCGGTCGCTGCTCTCTCGAGAGACGCCAAAGTCCGTAATCTTGGCCTCTAGATCCTCCGTCAGTAATATATTCTTGGACTTGAGATCGCGATGAAGTACTAGCGGGTCCAGTGAGTGCAGATACGTTAACGAGTGCGCGACGTGCAAGGCGATACGCGCCTTCTCCAGGTCGAAGCCATGCGGACGACACTCGTGATACTCAAAGTAGTTGAGTAGCGTTCGTAGATCTCCTCCTTCCATGTACTCGGCAACGGAGCAGAGATCCGCCAGAGAGTCCCAAGCCACGCCGATTAACCGGACGACACGCGGATGTTCCAGTGCAGCCATGATCTTGATTTCCGACAAGAAGCTGTTGATCTGAGCTAGTGTTTTTCTCTGTTCCGGGAGAAGTGTCTTTATGGCCACGGCTTCTCCACGATACGAGCCTCGGTAGACCATTCCGTACCCGCCTTTGTTGAGTAGCTTTCCTCTAGTGAGTTTTTCCGTTGGGATACGCATTGCAGTGATGATATCGTCTTCCCACATCCCACCTTGTGCTGCTGTAAGGAACGATGTGGAGTATCCGCCGTGTTCTTGACGCTGACCACCGGTGTACGGACCAGTTGAAGAAGTGTCGAGACGAGTATTGACGGTGTCTTCTTCTGCCCCAAGGCGCTTAGAATCACTGATAATAAAGTGACGCTGCAGTGACGCATTGGCCTCTTCTCTCGTTTTTCTGCGTCGAAAGACCACGAGCCCGATGCAAAGCAGAACTATCGACACAGATGCCAATGCGATAGCGACGATCATCCAGGAATCCCCTGCAAGTCACGAAGCGAGTTAGTGCGTCCTGTGAACGATCATATTCCAATACAGTTCGTGTACCTGGTGCGCCAGCATAAACTTCTGTGTCTTGACTCGAAGAAGTCAATCCACCTCCATTCTGCGAATCCCCGCTGCGCCAGTCTTCAAAACTACCGCCAGTACTACCCGAACTGGAATTTGTGGAGATGTCTGTGTCCACTGATGATGAAAATGAAGCTGCAAAGGTGTCTGCCCCCGCGACACTTGGAGCTGAAGTCTCTGGAGTTGTCGTTTCAATCGCCGCACTGGAACTACTTGGTTGCGGTGTTGGTTCGGTAGATTCCGGGGTGTTTGTAGGTGTCGGCGTTGTAGTCGAAGTGGCTGCGGTAGGGCGGGGCGTTCTGGTTACTGGCGTTTTAGTTGTTGGGGCTGGAGCCTTTGTTGTTGGCGTTGGTGGCTTCGTGGTAGGGGTTGGCGCTCGAGTAGGCGCACGAGTAGGCGCTTGGGTAGGTGCTCGTGTTGCTGGCGCCGGTGTAGCTATAGGGGACGGAGTAGTTGCCGCGGTAGAATCTCCACCCCCAAGCACAGTGTCCACGAGAGACCCAATAAGCCCCTGCAGGTTTCGCGTCTGAACTACTTCCCACTGCAGACACAACACAGGCCATTACTTTAGTTTGAGTCCATACTCCTTTTAGAAACCAAATTCGAGCTGTTCGCGCACCATTTTCAGACGAGCAAGTTCGCTGTTTTGGCAATCGCTCCCAGCGAGCGCCACTGCCGTGCAAAATGGCTAACTGGTATTTGAGACTCTCCGCATGGAGTTGAACCGACTACTGCAAAGGTGCGGCCTAGCATGGTGCTCTTATCCCCTAGTTCCTTACTTTTTGTGTGCACTGATCTTCTCGTCATAATCATTTTGATGACCACGACGACACGCAGCTGTGGCGCTTACCAGCCTTGATACTGTTACATGTACAATAGTGATGCTGGTAGACAGAGAGCAGAGAGCGTCTCCGCATATGACTCGACGGCTGGAGACTCTCGCAATGAAGGATATACAAGCACCTGTAATACGCAACGGAACACGAAGAACAGAAGGTTTTCCCTTTGATTTTTACGTTTTTGTAGGAGCTGTACGATCTGTTGCGCAGTGAGACGATTTGAGGGCTCTTGTTGACAGCACGCTTCGCCAAGGTGACGGATGAATTGCGGACATTCAGCACTGAAGCTTGGCCGCAGTCGTCCGTCCTTCACCAACGCTAAAATCTCAGATAACTCCATGTCATCCCCGCCCTTTGATCGAGCGTCAAAGTAAGGCACCTCGCACGTGTCAGCTCGGTGAGCAGCACTCCGAACGCATAAATGTCGGCTGCAGGTGAGTTAGGAGCACCATTGAGCACTTCAGGCGCCATCCACAAGGCCTGACGAGAGTTCTCTATCGTTGGACTCGTCTCTTTTGATCCGCAACTTGCCAACTTCGCTTCCAGCCTGTCTGTGAGTAGCACATTCTTGGCGCAGATAGCCTGGTGGATATAGTTCTGCGCGTGTAGATAAGCGAGCGCGCGAGCGATTCCTCCAGTGATGACTGTTTTCTGGGGCGTCCAAGTGTGCAAGCTCGACCTGTTTTGGCCCAGATATGTTCGTACAGATCCCAAGGGCAGATACTCAACGGCCATGCCTAAGTCGTGGACTGAAGTCCAGCCAGCGCCCATGAAATGCACCAGGTTTTGATGCCTAACATGCGCTCGTTGTTGGATCTCAAACGCCATTTCTTCTACCGCAGCAACGTTGACGTTCGGACTGGGACTGAGGCGTTTAAGCAGAACTTGCTGCCCGTTGTAGCGACGAATCGGTTTGGAGTGTTGTCATGGGAAGTTGTCGCTCGATCAGCACGTGATCGAGTTGGAGGCGTCTGCCATCGACGATTGGGTCTGCTGCCAGTACTCTCAGTGCGTTGACCGGTCCTAAACCGTGTATCTTCTCGAGTGGAGCAACCACCGGCTGCCAGGTCTGAAGAGCCTCTTCGTACGACGGTGGAGCACCTTCAGATCCGAACGTGCGGGTCTCCTCGTATGCCAGTGCTGATACAGCAGGCCCAGAAGCTGATCGTCGGTTCGTCTCTTCGCTCCAGGAAGAGCGAACGACAGCACTCAGTTCTGCGTAGCGGATGTCTCCTTTGTTAGGTCGAGCTGTGGGGACTGGTTGGTAGCTATCATCGTGCGGATGTTGAGGAGGAATGCCGTTCGACCACGAACCTTCAGACACGGGGACGGTAAACCCGGAGCGGGGCAAAGGAATCATCGACTGTGGGGCGTGATTGTGTGGAGACTGTAGTTCGCTGGTCGTCCCAGTGCGTTGGATCCGGCGACACCATCTCCACATGATCAAATACCTTCGGAGACCCTTGATCCTCTGGCTCGGACGGTTTTCGTCTTCGTCGCGCTAAAACGAACAGCGCTACGAGCACAAGGATGAGCAGGAGACACAGTGCGCCGCCTATTGATCCACCCAGCAAAGTAGCACTGTTGCCAGAATTGTCGTCTCCTGAAGATGCTGAGGTATCTGCAACCTTTGATCTCGGGATTGGGTTAGCAGCGAGCGACTGTGCCCAAGACGTGACCCAGCCTGAAGGCGTTGGCACTGTTAGCACGCTGGGTGACACATCATCCGTTCCATAGCACGAGAACATGTTCAGGTATCCGTAGGATGTCGTGGTTGGGCAGCCACCGTAGCTTCGTTCTGAAGTGACACCCCGCGTGTGCACCGCATACACCTTGTACGCCTCGCTGTCCGTCCAGACATGTTTGACAAGCTCAATCTCCGGGATCGTACTCGGATCTCCACCGACGGACCACATGGCCAGACCTCGGTTACCCTGCTCGTGCTCCTCCACGACGCTTGACCCCCGTTAACATTTCCGTGCCAGTGCAGAGATTGTTGTTGTAGCCAGCGGTACCATCCGGTTGCGTGCACTTGAAAGCCGTACAGTTGGTGTCTTTGTACTCTTCCAGAGTTAGCGCGATCTCCCTCATGGACAACCCGTCGAGTGTCCAGATCTGCTTCACGTCGCCGTCGGGGGTCATTGCGAACCCGCTGTCCCAGAGCACGGCGCGCTGAGAGAAGCCGTCCAAATCCTCGAACACCACGTTCACTTCACTCAGTCTCGAAGTGACGGTATCCGGTATTGAAGACAGGATCAGTGGGGCGAGTTCGTCTCCATCTTGTGAGCGCAGGTAGAGCTGTAAAGCGAGGTCCGAGGTGCTGCCGTCGAACTACTTGGTGCCCATCTGTCGACCGACGTGGTGAGCTCTCTTGGCAAGACCATTTCTTCAATTAAAATCGAAAACCGACGCAAATTATCGACTGGCGTCGGGGCCGCCAGCGATGAGAACATCCCTACATTTTTCTACCGACGACAATAACGGCACTAAAATCTTGTAAATTGACTCTACGAGGGAGCGATTCAACGGACTGCTGAACATGTGAACCCAACGCTCGGTGGACATACGCATGCTATTTTGCGGGTAACATGAACCCATTTTTACCGTGCTCGAGGTTTCGAAATTTTATACAAAGGTTTTAGAAAACCTCAAATGCCAGTACAGTACCTGGTTTTCAAATTGATGGCTGTACACCGTTCACGCTAATTAGTCATAACGTTACCCTGATTGTGGCGTACAGATCGTATACTGGGATTTCAGCTGTTCATTTTGAATAACCTACCGGTCTAATTTTTTAACCCAGCATACTGGAACAAAGAGGTCGATGAGACCTGCTACTGGTCTTTTTCCTTAGACTCGATCATGTTTGTCAAATATCCCGAATTTGTGATGTGCACTTTAGTGACGTGAGCGGTGTTATAGAGCGTGTTTTCTACGACCTCCAAATTGTATCATCGAAAAGTGCGAAATCGATTAATTCATTTTGGCGCGAAATGCAGCCGGAAAGGGCTGAAAAAAGCGCGTCACCACGGCGCGACCAACCCCAACAAGATCAGCAGACTTGACCGGCTCAGCGATAGTTTGGCTTCCTCATCAGAAGACGAGGAAGAAGCCAAGACGGAGGGCTTCAGCCAGGGATCCTCAAAAATATATTTACTGAAAAATATATTTTTTCCTTGGAAAAATAATTTGCTTATGGTCTGGCCACAATTTGAAAATTTATTTTTGGATTTTATGAATTCCCTCACAAAATTTATTGTCCTTGTCGGCAGCCACCAGATTTTTGAGCTGTCTGCAAACTTGTGCCGCCGACTCAAACTCACTTTTCAATTCGCACACAGCCCAAACTACCAACTCTCGCAACCTTCGCCATGCCCGACGCTTTTTCCCAGCGCTCGAGGAGCATGTTTTCCCAAAGCCATTAATCTAGTAACACGATCACGTTTTGATGCAGATATTTTTTTGCCACAGTCGCAGCACAAATTATTTATTTGCAGATTTCCGATCTACCATGCATGTATCTATTCTCATTAAACGAAGAAATCCATATAAATAATATTTTGAGCAACCCTGGATGATGTGCATACAGCATTCATAACAAAATATTGATTAAACTTTTTTATTTAAAGTGCTGTGTCGTTCCTTTTGCGTAGGTCGCGATCCAGTTAAGAACGAGGTCGCTCACGATCCTTAAGAACGGCCCTTAGATTTATCCGAAAATAGCGTTCTTACCCGAAAATAGATGGGAGTAGCCCAACTGTGCACGTTTTTTTGTTTAGAGTTGCTACATTTTACTCTACACATTACGCTTCAAGCAGTCGAAGTAGTTGAGTAGCAGTTGGTCTTCGATCTGGATCGTGCTGGTAACATCCAACGCCGATCACGCGAATGCGTCGAGGACATTCCGGACTGAAGCTCGGCCGCAATGTTCCCTGCATTACTTCGTTCAGGATCTGGATCGGCTTGAGTTTTGTGCCGATGGGTGACACTGCGTCGTGGAAAGGAGCGGTCGCTGTATCAAGCTCCGTTAGCAACACGCCGAACGCATAGACGTCCGATTTGGCCGTGTATGGCCTGCCTCTCAAAACTTCCGGCGCTGACCAGTACGGATGCACCAGCAACGGGACAATGATGACTGTGCTCGTCCAGACACGACGAATCGAAACCTGTTAGCTTTGGTCTCATCGTCTCAGTGAGTAGCACGTTACTCGCTCGTAGTTCGCGGTGAGCAACTGGTGTCGGTTGACTATGGAGATACACCAAGGCTCGTGCAATTCCGATGGCTAGTCGGTACTTGCCGCGCTCCCACGATGTGTAGTTGCTGTAGTTTTGCAAGTACGAAAACAGATCTCCCGATGGGTAATGCTCCATGACTAACATGACGTCGGCCACGCTGTTCCACGCTACACCCAACAACGTCACGATATTCGGGTGAGCGAGTGTCGAACGGATCTGGATCTGGTAAATGAACTCCTGGACGTGGAAAAGATGCGAGCGTTTGGCCTTGAGCAATCGTTTCACGACAACTTGCTGGTTCCGGTACTCGCCCAATCGAATTTCACGGGTTTGGCTCCTGGATAGCAAAGCTCGGATCTTGATCTCCTTGTAGGGAATTCTGATCCTGGCGAGATTTTGATCTTCCTGCAGAAGTCTCCAGACGTAGTTTGGTCCCGAGTCAGAGCCCAATTCGTACGCTTCTCGAGGTGGAACTCCGCGGGTGGAGAAAGTGTCCTCTCCCCCTGTTTGTATGGTCCCGGAAGTAACGATATCGCTCATTTCACCCGACTGACCGAGTTGAGGAAAGGAAATCAGCACCGCGTGATCCCGGTAGCTGTCGGCACCTTCGGCTTTTCGCCCCAGTTTTCGACATTGCCGATGCATCCAGCAGCAACACGCTCCTCCGAGAAGTAACAGCATCGCCACACCAATGATCGGTATCAAAAGCCCCATGTTATAGCTTTGATTACTAGTATCATTTGAAGACGAAGATCCGCTGGAAGAGATTGAGCTGCTACTTGACATTGCGGGGGTGAAAGCAAAAGTGAGTGCAGCTTCAACTCGAAGCCAAAGGGAGATACACAGTGGACTCCGCACAATCAAATCGGAACACGGTGTCACCCACCAAAAACTACTTTTTTCGTCCCACAAATTATTTTTCTTACTCTTTTTTGCTGGAAAGAGGGCGTCGTGGCCATACAATTGTGGTAACGGACTGCAACAGTATCATGGTGAGCTTAAATTTTGCATTATTCAAAGAAATTGAAGGTTTTCCTGCACCAATTGGCAAATCGGAGCCAGTCACCGCCCACATGCGACCACCGACAAAGATGTAGGTTGTGTTGTCGAGTGGTGTGTGGAAGCGACTCAAGCGATGGCAGTGGCGGCATGCAACAATTGTTGCGACGATTAGAAGGGCAATGATCAGCAGGATGAGCAGCAGCCACCACAAGCTGAAGCCACCGCCGTTTTTCCTCCCGGATTCTGTCGTCGCTGATGCAGAACCTTGAGAGGGCGCAGACGATTCTGTTGTCCTCCGAGGCCCCCCATGCTCCAAGATCCAGCGTGTGACCCAGTCAGTTCCCTTTGGAGGAGTAACTCGGGCTGCGATTGACTCCGGGATGCTGTCGCTTCCGTAACAGGGAATCACTAGCGATCCAGACCATTCACCAGCGGGACAGACTCCCGTCGCGGTGGCTTGCTCGTTAGAGGTCGCTGTTTGGATCGAGTAAATTGTGTATCCGCAACCGCACTCGGCTGTTCCTGTACTCTTAGCGACGCGAATATCAGGAACTGTACTTGAATTGCCACTAGTTGACCACAGTGTTGCATTCGAGCTCTCAGTACTATCAAACATTTCGACAACGCACTTCGAAGCCGCTAACATCTGAGCCGGGCCTTGGCTGCAAGATGAGTACATTTCGACGTTATCACCGTTTGATGCTGTGCAGGTAACAGCGTCACAGCCTGCCTCCTCGAACGCTTCGGCAGATACCGCGATGTCTGCCATAGTTCTGTTGTCCAGGGTCCAAAGCTGCACAGCTCGTTGGTGGGACGTGACGACGAACCCAGTGTCCCATAAGACAGCACGCTGCATGAGTCCAGGTAGATCTTCAAACGATAATGACAGGCTCTCTAGCCTCGCTCGAATAACCGCAGGAACATCTTCTAGGACCATTTGCTCGACTTCATCGCCTGCCTGAAACCGATCGTAAAGCTGCTGGGCAATATCCGACGTAACAGTGTCCGGGAATGAGCTGGAACCCCTCGCTGATGAAGCTGATACCAACGTCGGCCTTAACGAACAACCGCATGAGCTCGAGCTACCGTCGCTACCACGAGATGACGAAGTCGGTGCCGATCCACTTGATCTTGAGCTTGCTGATGAATAACTTTCGGACGCGGCTGAAGTGGCTGCAGGGGTTGGACTGGGATGTGATACTTCACTTGATTCGTCCCCACAGGAGTTCGGATGGCTCCAACTATGACAAAACTGTACCAGCAGCAATAAACTCGCTAAAACTTTGATTAGCTTCCGCGTCCTCTTCATGTTGGAAATCGCCAAATGAAAAAGCGACTTAAATGTTGGCACCATCCGCAGTTGCAAGTGGCTGCCACGATTGATTTTCATCAGCCATAATCTACCAATCAGAACACAGTATTCTTATCACTTTGCAACTACGATTTGTGGCTCAGATTCAGTAAATCTTTGTCGGGAACTTTTCCATTTGTACATTCCGTCTCCAACCCTAATAAACATCACACCACAAAGCCTGAAAGCCTACTGTACTGCTCACCTCCGCCCCCCTGAAGCTCCTGCACCAGTTCCTGCGCCGACGGACGATCTTCTGGGTTGAGAGCGAGGCAAGCCATTCCAATCTTCTGGATCCGAGGAGGGCAGTCCTTGGAGAAGGTCGGACGAAGCTTGCCGGCCATAACGTCCTGCAGGATCTGGAATGGCTTCGGTTTGCCTCCATGTTCCGTTGCCGCATCTGAGTACGGGATTTTGCTCGTATCAAGCTCCGTGAGTACCACACCAAACGAGTAAATATCCGCTTGTTCCGTGTATCGTTTGCCCTCCAGGATCTCTGGCGCTGTCCAGTACGGTGTGCCAACTCCAGCTGTCATGGTGAGGTCGACAGTGTCACGACTCACTCCAAAGTCGATGAGCTTAGGCTCCAGCTTATCAGTCAACAGAATGTTGTTCGACTTGAGATCACGGTGGATGAGAGGCGGCGTGCGAGCGTGCAGATACGCAAGAGCCTGGGCCACTCCGATGGCCATGTGGATCTTGTCTCTCGCCCACGACAACAGGTCGGAATTCTTCTGTAGATAATTCTGTAAATTGCCCATAGGGAAGAGCTCGAGCACCATTGTCAAGTTATTCAGACTATTCCACGCCACACCGATGAACTCGACGATATGCGGGTGAACGAGACTGGCACTCAGCTCGATCTCAGCGGCAAACGCTTGCACCTTTTCAGCGTTCTGGTCCCTTCTTTGCAGCAATCTCTTGGCTGCCACTTGCTGTCCGTTGCACTGACAGATCCACACTTCTCCTGACGCTCCCTTTGAGACAGCTCGCTCAAATAGTAGACTGTCGTATGGGATGCGTTTGCCTTGTAAGTGCTCACTGTCAAGCAAGATCTTGAGCGTCTTGTTCGATCCAGCACTCTCGTAGTGACTCGAGATAGTGGAGCCCTGTGTGGTCAACCCAGTGGGTCCAAGTATCATCTCTGGAGTGCCCACAGCCAAGTATTGGTCCGTTTCCATGTCGTGGGCTGCAGACGTCGACTTATGCGCCCTGTTTTCGGCTTTGCGTTTCCAGCAGAACCAGCCCAGACCGAGAGCACCAAGAACCGCGACGACACCAAGGATGATCGGGATCAATAGGATCGTGTCGAGTCCTGAGGATTTCTCGGCGAACTCGTCTTCCAACCACGTAGTCACCCACGCACTTCCGGTCGGGATTGTGGTGTTTGCAGCCATGAACTCGTCCGTGAACGCGTCGCGTCTAGCACATGGGATACTCACGGCTCCGTAACCCAAGGGACACTGTCCCCAGGCCGGTTCTTGCGAACTATAGACTGTATGCACCACATAGACGGAGAAGGTGGTGCTAGTATTAAACACTGGCTCCGTCCACGTGTGATCCCTCAGTTCGATCAACGGAGCGACGTCCGGGTCCCCTCCATTCGCCCACATGTTGCCTAGGTACGTTCCAGCACCCGAGTCTTCGAAGACATCGATCACACAGTGTGAAGTATTAAGCATCTGCCATCCCGTGCACGTATGACTGTAGTAAGCCGTTATATCATTTGGTTGCGAGCAATTCGTGAAGGTGCAGTCCACACCCGAGACTTCCCACTTTGGGATGGCGATATTGTCCATGGTGCGATTGTGCATTGGGTAGATTTGCACCGGTACATTACCTGGCGCAATGGCAAAGCCCGTGTCCCAAAGAACAGCGCGCTGGACGAGCCCCGGCAGGCTGTTAAAGTCGACGTTGATGGCGTCGAGACGCCCAGAAACCGCGGTAGGAACCGACGTTAGCTCCACTTGGTCACCGGTGTCGCCGGCCTTGTGTCGGATGTAGAGCTGCTGCGCAATGTCCGAGTCCGAGCCGTTGAAGACACAGGAAGAAGAGGGACTGGACGAGGAAGTCTCCTCCAGACTCCGAAACGACACGGTGTGGCCCTGACCAACGGCTCCTAACAGCAATCGAAATGCCGAGATCAATCGCATGGCTGCGAGGCGAATCTTAGAATGGCAAATTCGACTGTCGAGTTGACGGCCAGCTCTAGAAAGTCGATGGACGAGGGCACGAGTTGACTTGCGGTGCACACGTTACATGGCGCCGTCGAGATATCACAAATGTACCCATTGCTAATAGCGGCATTTTAAACAGTGGTTTTTCGGTCTGTGCAGCGCAAATCCATCTCATGTAGGCAATTGAAGTGCCAATAAGCTGTCCAGGTGTATGTTTTGTAGTTGTCACGAATTCACCACCAGCCAACTGTAAGAGCTGCTGCTCGATGCCTCCCACAGTCCCGCATCCACCGGTAGGTTCAGAGAAGGAGAAGGTCGTCTTCTCGAAGACCGTGACCTTTTCCTAATCTGAACTGCCGCTATCAGAGACTCATATTGACATTACATGTATTGGGTTAAGTGTTGCAGTGATAATTCCATCAAAAAGGTCCCGTCTCCTTAGACGCGGATGCACGAGTTCAGCCCTTCGAGTTCCGATATTCACTCGAGGTTCATTCCAAGTAGCGCCGGAAGTCAGGAAACGGTTTGTTCGGCACCAACGGGCTCAAATGATACAACGGTCGCCAGTTCACTGGACAGCGAAGGCTGGCAATAGCTTACGTGGCGCGCGTCGCGAAATTCCGTGTAGAAAAAACTTATATGGTGGGGCCAACCCCTCTATCCACGGGTTTATCATTCTGTCTTTCTCCAGCTTGGCACGAGATCCATCCACTCAATTCGACGCGTTGGACCATGAACAGTGGTCGCACTCGACGCCTATCGAGTTCGGACGATGACGTTCGACTGCCGTCCAATGCCACATACTTCGCCTTCGACGGCAGCAACTCCGATCTGGCGAGACAGCTGTACCTGCGGGCCAAAGCTGGTGGCTCAGAGCAAAAGTACTCTGGTTTAGTACTACCGGGCGCTATTCAGCGTCGTCTTGAGGACGTCGATCTCGAGTGGGATGACCTACCGGGCATCGGCCAACGCGCGTTGCTGTGGGACTCGGGCTTCGGCGTCACAGTGGACAACAGGGTCGTCCAGATATGGACACTTGGCGGGCACTCCATGAGCGACTTGGCCGTTCCACTTGACCAGTTCAGAGCTGTGGAATGCGAGGAGACGAATTGCACGCAGCCTGGCACGACCATCGTGAGTCGAAGCAACTTGTACTGCAGCGGTACGCAGATGCTCACTGCAGCTCGTTGCGTCGTCGAGGACTTCGATGAAAGCGACAGGCTTCATCTCGCCATGTGGATGACTGGTGG